TGACCTCAGCACACTGAGTTAGCAGTGAGGTACAAGAAGATTTACTTGTCTATACTTGGAACAGCGGCTTTCAGGGCAGAGGCTACAGGGCTTCAATTTTAGAGCTTTCAGCCTGTAGAGGATTTAAGGAATTATCTTATAAACCATTAATATACTCAAAAGTGAGCATATAGAACTGTCTGCTTCTGAAATGTAATGAAGTTGGGAGGAGTTAAAGGCAACACTGATGCGCACTTGGAGACATGCTAAATGTGTGTTCCCAGCATTTACCAGTAATCTTCTTAAATGGGAACAGACTTTGTAAAACTAGAAGTCCTGAACATCATTACAAAGTTATATTATTTTTCCTGAACCCTAAGGCAAAGGCAAAGTTTGCAGTGGACACCCATGCAGACTGATTTTTCACTAGGCACTTGGGATGGGCTTGGGTTTGGTTCAAATTTGGGTTTGGATTGAACTCAGAAGGAAGCTCTCATTCCCACCTACTGCTGCTCAGTCAGCTGGGGCTAGGGCATTCCCTACTCCACAGCTACATGTAAACAAGTGGGAGGAGATGTTTGTGACTTTATTGACCAAATATGACCACATGGCCATATTAGGTCAATATCATTGAACTAATATTCCCATGTAGCTACATCAGTCATGAGCATCTTTGCCCATTTGTGTACTTGCTGCTGGCCGAAATTGATTGGGCGACAGAGGGTGGTAGTGACATTGACCTTCCAGGTTCAGTCCATATCCAAGTTTGCATCAAACCCAATGTTCCTGAGCACCAATTTAAAATTAGTGTTACCACTGAGTACTAATGTAAGGTTAGTGTCATTTTGTGAATCAGTCATTCAGATATTTTCTGTACTGTATCAAAAACTGTAGATGAGAAAATTATTTCAGGGGTTCCGTAAGATCTTGAAATTTTTTAAGGGTGCATCAAGGGTAAGAAAAAGTTGAGAAAGGCTGGTCTTTAGGTATTCATAGACATAAGATAGTGATCAGCTAATAAAGATAATTTCAGCTGGAATGAAGATCCTCGTGTGGAGAATCAACTGAGTTAAAAATGTTGGCTCATATAGTATTACTTCCAAAAAAATATAGTTATCTGCTTTCCATTTGCCCACTTCATGAAATGCATTTATCTAAGTAGCTAAACAGACCTAGTTGTTTAAGGGTCCTAAAAAAATGCTGGTTGAAATGTATCTACACTACCTTTCATGTCAGAACCTTCTGAGAGTTACCCAAAGAGCTAAAATAGTATTCAGCCAGCCTAGCTGGTTTTGGTGGGATGGGACTGTGATTTCATGTTTATAGGTAAGTTATACAGCAGCTGCTCAACCTCTCTCTTGAGAAACAATTGATCAGACCTGTTCTGATTGCTGAGGTTCTGCCTTGATAAACTGATGCTCATTCTGCCTGCTGCTCCTGTGCCCTCCTTCAATCACCTTTCTGCATATAGCATAGTTTAGCCAAGCATTTGTTTTTAAAGAATGGTTGACTAAAGGCCTTTAACTTCCACCCCAACCAATGATTTTTACTAAGTCTATGACATTACTTTTCTTTACTGTTATTTTGGGACCTATAAGTGGTTAATGATCTAGGGAACAAAATGTTTAGTGTGCCAGTTTCTAATAGGACATTTACATTGACACCCATGTTTAGTGCCCTTGGACCTGAAAATTTCCATACTATGTACTTGCGGGTAAAAATTAAATGGCCTTATGTATAAAAGAAGTACAGCAAGGAACATTGGAGTAAAAGTGGAGCTGTTACTTGCAGCAACCGATTAATTTAACTGTTTCATTTTTCTGTAAAAAGTGATAGATCTGATTGTTTTCTGTGAGTAACAACTCCATCTTTACTTCAGTTTTCATTGTTTGCATTATTATAAATTAGCCCCAGTTACAATCCAGACTCTATAGCTCAGAAAAGTCAAATACCATGTTTCAAAATGCTCCAGTATGTGTAAGTGATATAATTTGCCTAATAACCTCAGTGAATTATTGTGCTAGGTTCTAAACTGAAACAAGCCTAATTCAGTGTTTCTTTTGCAAATTATTATGTGAATGAATACAATACATAACAGAGTATCTGTAGTATACAAAAACCTTAGCTATATACTTAATGCTAATATGACATTACATGTAACAATACATGATTGTTAAGCTCTCAAAATCAAGCACTTTCAAATTATTTTCCATTAGGAGACTATACTTTTTAACATATAAAATATGACATAAATGTATTATTTATCTATTGAACAAGTCTGCTCAACTGTGTAGTTGAACACATACGTAACCAGTGATAACACAATAATATTTTCAAAAAGCGCAACCTGTAAAAAGAGCATAATTATTGACTGCATCAGTCTATTTGCCAATCTACAGTGCACAAATGATAATTGTAATATATCCCATCTGTCTGTAATGTCTATAATGTAAAATAAAATTAAAATCATACAGTAGCAGTACATAATGCAACAGAAATTGACTACATAATATAAAAGCTAGATCAAAATGCAACAGAAATACCAGATCATTTTGATAGCTGTAACAATTGTTTTATATTTATATATAATCTATATAATAATATAATTTTATATGATAGAATTTATTTTTATATATATATATATATATATATATATATATATATATATATATATATATATATATATTATATATATAAAATTATATTATTATATAGATTTGAAATGAAGGAAGGTACACTGCCCTCTACTCCCAATAAAAAAAGTGGTAAAGAGAAAAACTGACACATTTGCAAATCATTTATTAATTCCTCTAGTGGTAAATCCATTGAAAGTTACAAAATAGCATTATCCCCAGTGTTTAGAAGTGACAATAAATCTGTACAGTATTGTACATATTAGCAAGTAAACCTAACAAATAGTAACCATTTGTCATATATGCAGCCCACCTGCTGATACAAATAATGTAACTCCTGCCTTGGCTCCATGGATTTTCTTTGCTGAGAATGGAACATCAGAGAATGTAGCAAGTCAGCTGATGGTATTGTAGTAAACCCTATTTCTTAAATCTCCCCTACCTGCCCCCTCCTCCACCCTTTTTTTTTTTAGCTGCCACATTTTTTTGGTTGAATTAAAGACAAACCAGCAGTCTGGACATTGTAATATCCACAGACTGGTTTTATTATGGGGATTTCTGAAATGCAGATGAACTTTAGGTTTTGCCTTTGTCCTGCTTGGGCCAAGTACCCTTTCGGGACTGTTCTGTGTGGGGACTCTTATCCTCCTCTTCAGTTAATGAGGTTCACCTAGTCAGCACATTCGTATGCTTATTACACATCTGAACTGCAAAGCTTGGAGACATGTTTCTGCTCAAAAGCAACAAAGATCCGTTAGTTCAATGCCCCCACCCAACTTTTCCATTCTGCCAGGAATGTGTTCTTATCATAGATTAAGCCCCCTTCCTAACTAGGTGCACCTGCTTTACCACTGCCATGCAGACTATAGGGTCGGCCAATTGCATCTCCTCTATACACATCATTGATACAGTATAGAATGCAACAGTCTGGTAGGAAAACCATTAATGGTGTTTTGTTTTTTAATTTCATGTTTCCCAAACAAAACTGGAAATATTAACTCAATTTTGGAACACCTGAACTCCACATACTAAAGATCAGATAATTATGGATCATTGTAAAACATCTGGGAATTTAAAAAATATATATATAAAAGGAGAAAAGAAATCTGGCATCACATCTTTTGCATTTCATATTTCTAGAATTTACTGGACTAAAATTACAATATTAATTTATATAGATCAACAAGACAATAAGTTAAAAAAATTAATTTAGGAGCATTTGATGCATGATCTTCACCATTTGACCTTTGCTTTATCCAATCAATCCAAGCGCTGAGTAGTTCAAGTAATAGACATTTTGTTTTATTAATTTAATCATTCTTCAGATTGTATCTCAATAATTGGAACTGAAGGTGGTGAATTCTTGTATAATAAACATTTACAAAATGATTAAAAAAAAAAAACAAAACAACAAAACATAAAATAACCACACACGGAAATAAATACAGGACGGGTGGCACAGGGGTCAGTTGAAAAATAAAAGTTGATTAGTTTTTCTTTTAAAACCCCAGTATTGAGATACTCCAATTAGCAATATTTGTTGGTATTATTTTTTTTTTTATCTATGACAGGAGCATCCTTGAAATAAAAGTAATATTTAATGATACAATTTAAATGAGGTTCTGAGACCAGAATATGAAAGGGTCGTTTCAATTCTGGCTTTCTGCTTTGAGGAAGTGAATATAACATAATATAAAATACAGTAATAAAATAAAAAAACCAAGACATTAAACTTATGATCATAGTAGCTACATTTGAAGGGTTATCTAAAAGAGTATTCCAGATGTAGGATGTCATTGATCACATACTTCCTCAAACAAAGACAAAAATAAAACTATAAAAATACTGCAAAGAGAAAATGTCTATAAAATACTATAATTTAAATCGTTCATTATTAAACACATACTAACAGCCTGATTAGTCCGTATGTTATATAGCTGGCAGTCTTTTGTCAACTCAAAAATGTCAATAAAATAGTGTGACACTGTTTTTTGTGTTTTTGTTTTTTTTTTTTGTTTTGTTTTTTGATTTTTTTTTTTTGCGAGGTAGTTTTATCTCGCTATACAAAAATACACAATGACGTTTCCCCCAAATTCTGTTATGTTAATGTTTTGATCAATTTTGCAATTGTTCCATTTAGAAAGTTAGGGAATAGTCTGCGGGTGACTGCTGGCTCAATACCGATCTGTCATGTCCTTCTGGATAATTTACTACAGCTTCACCGAGCCCTATTGTAACTTTTTTTGTAGCAGTCCTAAGAAAAACAAAAAAATGAACATTTGATAACAAAAAGGTCAGCTCATGAACCCACCATGGAGGTGAAGTCTCCCAAAGAACAGAGACGGTCAGTAACTCTTGACCTCTGCTTGAATCCCCATCCAGTAGGCTTTACCACGTTCTTCCGTAAAGCATACTGGGGTTGACCATACCATTGGTGTAGTCTACACTGGAAGCGTCCATCTGTGTCATGTTGGCCACCTGGTTGTGGAGGGATTGAGGGCTAGGTGACATTTCCTCTAACTCTGGAGCTTGGTTTAAAGAGTTAACTTGTTGATTCTGGTGCTGATGGACAGCGCTGTTAGAAGAAGACAATACACCATTGGAGCCACTCTGTTGTTGGGATACCTGTTGACTTGTGGTTGAGGTGTTGGAGCCGTTTTGGCAAGGCTTGCCATCTTTTACCAGCACTGGAACGGCCACACGGCGGGGGGACTGTTGCTGGCACAAGTTACTTTCTTGCTGGAGTTGTTGAGTGACTTTGTCCTTGGCTTGCCTCTTCATCTTGTACCTGTGATTCTGAAACCAGATCTTCACCTGAGTAGGGGTGAGGTGGATCATGCTGGCCAGATGCTCTCTTTCAGGAGCTGAGAGATACTTCTGCTGCTTGAACCTCCTTTCCAGTTCATACACTTGCGCTTGAGAGAAGAGGACTCTTCTTTTCCTTCTGGGGGCTGCATGTAGAGGGGCCATTGATTTGGCAGCTTCTGCTATCCCTTGCAAAGTGCCCATGCCAGCCATATTCATACCGCTGGAAGGTCCCATGAATCTAGAAACTGACATACATTCAATTAGCTTGTTGACACTTCAAGTCCTTTATCCAACATTTCATTTGACCTACTTGAGGGCTGGGTTCCTCAAACCTTAGCTACACCCCAACTGCCCCATAACTTTTATGCCAGGTGACACTCTACAAAAAAAGTTCAAGCACATGCAACAAGTCACAGAAGACTTTATTTCAATAGAGGTAGATGTACTTACTTGTTGAATACCTTGGATCTGGGTTGGCTCCATACCATCCAGTGGCTGCTGCGCTGTTCCTCATAGTATCTTGGTAAGAGGAGATATCTCCCATATTGCTAATACTTCCATTGCAGTAACCCCCCATGGCACCATGTGAGAACTGGGAGACACTATGGGGCATGTGGTAGGTGGTGGTGACAGTGGCATTGTGGCCCATGGTGTGTTGTTGCATCCCTGCCTGGGAAACGTGGCTCTGTCTGTAGGCGCTGAGGGAAGTGCTCAGGTTCCCAGTGTTGTCCATGCCACCAAACTTCTTGTAGGTCTCTTCAATGGGGCTCAGGATATCGGTCACTGAAAAGGGTGTTGTATGCTTTGGGCTCAACGACATGGTTCAGCGACCAAGCAGGTAAAAAAGTGGCGATCAGATCAGCCTTGTGTAGTGTCAATTCTCTCTCCTTGTGGATGATGTCTACGTAAGAGAGTGCTTGGAGGACGCCTGAGATCCGATTGATCGCCTTTACAAAGTAGGCGAGCCCTAAGCTCTCTTATCTCGGGTTTATTTTAGCCTGGAGCCAGGTTTACAACACACACTGGAGGGGGAGGGAATGGGAGGCCTGGGAGGGGCGACATACGACGGGCACACAATACTCATTCACACGTTCCCCACATCATTGACTAAAGATGCAGTTACTTTCCTAATGACGCCCATCATTATGCCTGGACTTGTGGGGGACTTGGGATGTCTGTCCTCTCCATGGATCATCATCCCAGGACTCCTCCAACCCAACGGTAAGAAAGACTTTGACATTCCACACTGCAGGGATCAGTCATCCATGGCAGCTCAGGACCTGATCAGGTTCACTCAACTTCATCAGAGATCACAGTAAGTACAGGACACTTCTTTTATCACCTGAAAGAAATGCCTCCTGGAGCGTACATGACACATCAGCTCCGGCTTCTGCTCTGTGACACCTGCACCATCAGCAACAAGTAGCCAGGAGCTGCGGTGACAGCAGTGACAGCGGGACACGTGTGGCCTCCTGCCCTCCCTCCTCCTGTCCTGCCTGGGATCGAAACATCCACCTGATCACCTCCAGCAGTCACACACCGGGGCACGTACCGTCAATATCTCCTCACCGCTCCAATATAACAGTATTATTTCATGTAACATTTTATTACATCATAGCTAATGTAACAAACACAATATAAAAAAATTATAATACATAATATATCATACTATTACATAGCTAATACATAAGAGATCATTCAAACACAATATAATCTATAATACATAATATATCATACTATTACAACATAGCCTAATACATAAGAGACCATTCAAACACAATATAATCTATAAATAATAATATATCATACTATTACAACATAGCCTAATACATAAGAGATCATTCAAACACAATATAATCTATAATACATAATATATCATACTATTACAACATAGCCTAATACATAAGAGACCATTCAAACACAATATAATCTATAATACATAATATAATATATCATACTATTACAACATAGCCTAATACATAAGGGACCATTCAAACATAATATAATCTATAATACATAATATAACATCCTATTACAACATAGCCTAATACATAGGAGATCATTCAAACATAATATAATCTATAATACATAATAAAGTATGTTTAATTGTGTTTTATAGATTATATTATGTTTGAATGATCTCTTATGTATTAGGCTATGTTGTAATAGTATGTTATACATACTATTACAACATAGCATAATACATAAGAGATCATTCAAACATAATATAATCTATAATACATAATATATCATACTATTACAACATAGCCTAATACATACGAGATCATTCAAACATAATATAATGTATAATACATAATATAACATCTTATTACAACATAGCCTAACACATAAGAGATCATTCAAACATAATATAATGTATAATACATAATATAACATCTTATTACAACATAGCCTAACACATAAGAGATCATTCAAACATTATATAATCTATAATACATAATATAAATCATCTTATTACAACATAGCCTAACACATAAGAGATCATTCAAACATAATATAATGTATAATAATACATAATATAACATACTATTAAAACATAGCCTAATACACAAGAGATCTTTCAAACATGATATAATCTATAATACATAATATAACATCTTATTACAACATAGCCTAATACATAAGAGATCATTCAAACATAATATAATCTATAATACATAATATAACATACTATTACAACATAGCCAAATACATACGAGATCATTAAAACATAATATAATCTATAATACATAAGAGATCATTAAAACATAATATAATACATAATATAACATCTTATTACAACATAGCCTAATACATAAGAGATCATTCAAACATAATATAATCTATAATACATAATATAACATCTTATTACAACATAGCCTAATACATTTCTAATATTCTATAATACATAATATAAAAATATCATAACATAACACATAATATAACATTATTATAACATTATATAATACATAATATATTATTACAAACATAGCCTAATACATAATAGATAATTAAAACATAATTTAATATATAATACTTAATATAACATATTATTACAACATAGCCTAATACATAATAGATCATTAAAACATAATATAATAAATAATCTAACATAAATATCATAATATATAATATAACATATTATTACAACATAACATAGCACACAATAACTTATTATTATAACTATATAATACATAATAATAATAACATAATAATATATAATTCATAACACATTATTATATTATAGTATACATATACCATAAGAAGTCTCACTGCTGTCACAGGTTTGGGGGTCAGGATACCCACATAGGAGCCACGTAGAACATACTGACAGCAATTAAAATCCTAGCACCTGGGATACACGATCAAGGAAAAGTGTCCCCAGGTAGAAGACGCACAATATGAGCCCTCTCTCACCTTTTACGTGTACAAAACAGTCATCTGTATGGGTAGCAATGGGACAGTAAATGGATGGTATGATTATGTCAGTTTTGTGAAGTCTTTGAAATTATCCCAGCAATCTGACATAAAGGTAACGTGCAAATATACACGTTTAAAATAATAATAATACAAAATAAAATAATAATAATAAGACTAACAACAACTACATCAATGATAATAATAACCATAGTAATAATAAAAATTATAGTAATAAAAAAATGAAATTAGCAACATTTATTTACTGTATTAGTACATAGCTGAAAACCATTCTTTCAACCCTTTTAAGCCTATTAAACGTTTTCAATAATCAATGGATTTTATATTTTTAATCACATTGTTACACATTAGTTCTAGTTATATTATACCAAACCAGAAGGGATTTATTTACCACCTGTTGCCTAGCCTTGAGGTTGAAAAGGGACGGATATCTATTATTATTACTGGCATCTGATTTGAAATCCGTGAATTGCTTTCTAATAAGCTATGAACTTACATCTATTTATACTGTATATAATTTTACATTATATATTGTTAAATGTACAGTATATATTATTACTATAATGTATGGCATCTAATTCAGAATCTGTGTTTTTTTCCTAATGTATCTATCTATCTATCTATCTATCTATCTATCTATCTATCTATCTATCTATCTATCTATCTAATTTATCTGTCTCTCTTTCACATTCTCTTTCTCTCTCCTCTTTCTATTTTTTTTTACACTTATATTTTGTGTGACATCTTTTATGGATCCTGTGATTTTCCTAATATCCGTTTATCTTCATTTCTCTCTCTCTCTCTCTCTCTCTCTCTCTCTCTCTCTCTCTCTCTCTCTCTCTCTCTGTCTCTCTCTCTCTCTCTCTCTCCTCTCTCTCTCTCTCTCACACACACACTTTTTTTTCTCTCTTTCATCCCTCTCTTTTATTTATTATGTTTTGCATGGCATCTTTTTTGGAACCTGTGATTTTTTCCTAATCTCTTTCTGTCTCTCTCTCTCTTTCTCTCTCTCTCACTCTCTCTCTCCCCCTGTGTGTGTGTATATCTATATATATATATATATATATATATATATATATTTATTTATTTATTATTATTCATTTATTACATTTTGTATGGCATCTTTTTTTAATCTGCACTTTCTTTCCTAATATAATTTGTAGGATATATATGTGTTTATTAACTGTATATATATATTTTTTTTACTAATGTATAAGTAATATTAATTCACAATAGTAAAAGCAATTTTAAAGGAACTTAAAATTTAAAAAAAAGAATATAGATTTTCCTTTCTGTGGAACAGAATTGGTAAATGCCCCCCCCCCCCCCATCAATTTGTGTTTAGTTTGTCGCAAAATTAAATGAACAATATCCTATTATGAGATGATTATCCAATTAATAGTATATATTAGCGTATCAAGCCAAATGAATTACAGAGCCGTTAGAACATTTTTTTATATGTATATAATTGTTGCATTGTCTTTCTCATGCCTGTCAGTCCGTTTCTTGTCTTTCTGTCTATATGATCAGTATTGGTCTTATATTTAGATGGAATAAAGCAGTTGAATATTCTGAGCATCCACCTGTATGGAGTCTGTCTGCCCTCAGGTCTGTGTGTCTGAATATGGAGCATCAGAAATGCGACACAATGAATGGAGGTGGTAAGGACCGAGCTGCAGGGACCTTGTGAAGGACATCCAAGCACAGGCTGAGCAGTAAACACAGAGCAGCAGGTGAACTGTGTCCTTGTATGCCTCTAGGACAATTGCTATGAATCTGTTAGCTATATGCATTCTTGTGGTATAATTCTGATGCATATTTTGGGGGTAGGAGGGGGCTGAGTTGAAAATTTCTTATGAGCTGACCCCCTGGTAGGATATACATAGCTAATAGAGTCTCAGGAGTTAAAGGCAGATTATTGTCTCCTCTTTAGCTACTTACAACTAGAAATAAAAGGTGTGTGTAGCTTTCATTATTTGTATTTCTGTACATAAAGGCTTCTGTAGATATGTATAAGAGGGTCAAAGAGTGCTTAGGAGGCCTTGAGTAATATTGAGAGCTACTTTACAAAGTGCCAGAAGAGAACTCATTGGTTCGACCCATTAAGGATTTAACCCTTTGCTCAGGAGAGAACCTCATAGAGGTTTATGATCCAAACGCTGACTCATGGGTGTAATGGATATGTCATCTGGAGATGCAATCGTGGGATGACATTAGACAATCGTTTTTCATTTTGTTATTTGTATTTTTTGAAATCTTGGAGTGCAGTTATATGAATGCAGTACAGTCCCATTCTGCATTGGATTGCTTTGTACATAGAACATTTGCTACAGGCAATGTATTGGTCAGCTAAGCGCAAAAAGCACAGCGTGTGAAGTCATA